ACACAGAGGGTGGGTCAACAAGCTCTGTTCTAATAACCAGAGTCTATGGGTTTTACGAATTCTTTGTTTGTCCAGTATTGAACTTCATTGCATCCCCTCAGTGACCCACCTTGAAAAAAGCCATTTTCTGGTTCTTTGAGTTTGAGTCTCTATGAAAGCAGAAAGTGCTGCTTGATTCTAATCCACCATAAGATATGGATATTTTTTGTGTGTGTGTGTGTGTGTGTGTGTGTGTTTGTGGTACTGGGGATCGAACCCAGGGCCTTGTGCATACCAAGCAACACTCAACCACTGAGCTACATCCCTGGACCAAGACTTGAATCTTTTAATGCCAGCATTAACCCTACTAGCAATAGCTGATGAATTGAGAAGTATTATTTGCAGAAATGAGCAATTGATTTCTAAAGAGTAGCAATAGTTGGGAAATGGCTACTGTCTCCAGGATAGATGAAGAATAAAGGAAAGTAGTAACATTTTACAAACCATCTTGTAATACTACTCTTTAAAGGTAGGAAAATACATGTACCTTGTAATATGGAGCCACAGTGTTTTTCACTGTGATGATATATTCTGAAAGTGTTATAATCCATTTGGCTATGGATACAAGACGTGGGAAATGAAAGCTAAATGGAGGAAAAGTGTAAGAGAGCAGATGAGATGTACAGAGGTCAAGTTGGCTTTTGGCTTGGGGCCAACCATCTAAATTATAGCTTTTCAGGGGATGTAGTAAGTTCATTTCTCACTTGGACTTGGATTAATACCCTAAAGTATGGTCTGGTGAGTGAATGTATGTGGGAAGGGGGTTAGAAATTAGGGACAGAGTAGAAGTGAGGAGCTGTGTCATTATAGCAAGGCCATGTGGCCTGTGGCATTGTTGTCAGATTTTTGGAGTCTTGGTTTGTTGAATATCCATTTGGGTTCTCAGGATTGACTTACCCAGAAGAACCTTCGAAGAGCTGGGGAGTGTCCAGCAGGGGCATAGATGCCTAAAGTAGTCACTCAGGGTTTGTTGGATGTTAGATTTTTTTTTTTTTTGTTTAGTCATGTGCATACAATGTTTGGGTCATTTCTTCCCCCTACCCCCCCACCCCCTCCCTGTCCGCTCCCTCTCCCCTCCACCTCCTTGCTTCCAGGCAGAAACTGTTCTTATCTCTAATTTTGTTGAAGAGAGAGTGTAAACAATAATAAGAAAAACAAAGCATTTTTGCTAGTTGAGATAAGGATAGCTATAGAGGGAGATTCCTAGGGATGTTAGATTTTGAGAAGAAGACTATTTCTAGACCCTGTGTGCTCTCAGATAAGGATGGAGAGTCTCAGGATAGTTTCTGTTTTCTATTTTTGAGCTAGGAGCTGGGAAAGGCTAAGTCTGTTCATGCCCTGTGTAAAGTGAATGTCTAATGAGCCTGACTAGATCAGGCATGCGTTGAAATCATGGAATCTTTTTGTTCTAACCAATGTAATCCTGTCCAAGGTTAAGGTTGAGAGTTAGACATGATCGAGTGATATTTTGCTACTTTGAATATCTGATATAAAAAATAAATATACCACTATGGAAAGGGCACAGATGTATATTGATCAACTGTTTTCTTTTTTATTAGGATACATTAGTTGTATAAAGGAGTTTTACTGTGGTATTTTCATACATGCATACAATATATCTCAATTAAATTCACTCTTTCTATCACTTCCGCACATCTCTCTACCCCTTTCTTGAAAGTTTCATTTTTTTGTTTTCATACTCATTCTAGAAAATGAACTCTGGCTCTACTGAAAGCTGAATGGAAAAAATAATAATAAATATGGGACACTTATTTGAGAAAAATTTATCTGATAGAGGGTTTGGAACCCACCATAATGACTTCATATACCTATATGAAAAAGAACAATGAAATCTCTTGGGATTGCTTGAAGCAGAGTAGGTGGGGGGTTGAGGGGAAAGATGGTGGGGCGATCTAACCAAGAACAACATAAGCCTATTTGGAATTTTCAAAGTCCCACTGTACAATGAACATATCCTAATGAAAAAATTTCAAAAAAGAGAAAACCACCATAATGGCATGCTAAGAGAAACGGTGGGATTTTCTTCATTGAGGAGTGTTAAAAAAGTATTATTACCTTCCAATTATGGTTTCATGTCTATTCTCCCTAAAGGTATGTGTACTTGAAACCCCTTCTGGCCCGTAAGAAGAAGATTCTATGGTCCCGATGAGATTGTGTGTATTAGAATCAGTTCTCCTAGAAAGGAGACACTAAAGGGTACTTGAATGAAATATTAAAAGTTATGAAGGACATAACAAAGGCCAATCAGTCCTTTCTTTTCCCCAGACCCCATAATATGAGAACAAGGGTTATTTGATGAAATTAAAGAGTAGCAAATTAAGTGCTAATAAAATGAGATAGTCACTTATATAATTCATTGCCATGGGAGGTCACAGAGGCAAATTCTGTGCCTGAATTAAATATGGGGCTGGATAATTTTATGACCATTAATGACATTTTTAGCAGGGAAGCTGATACTGTGAGAGAAGCAGTCCTATTACATTCTTCAGTAGTTGGCTCGCCGGGACTTGAGGCAAGTAGTATCTGAGAAGTGTGAGAGCAGGCCTCGTGGGTTCTAACCTTAGGTGGGAATTGTACTAAAAATGAGTTTTCTGAGGTGAGTGTACCCAGGCATCCCATTCGTGCTTTCATTCTATCTTTTGTTGTGGGGTCCAAAAGGCCTTTCCAGTCAGGAGCAGTTGAGAAAGACATCACCCAGAATCAGATCATTTCTCAGGCTTTGAAAACCATTCATCTTATTTATTGAATGCCACCCATGTGTCAGGTACTTTGTTTGGAGTTTTAAAAATCTGTTGGGTGTATGAACAGTTTGACACATCAGTGTCATTCCAAGTGAAAGGACTGCAAAGCTGCATGGAAGCAAAGGAACACTCAACCTGTGAGGCTTAGGGAAGGCTCCCAGTGAGGCTAACTTTTGAAGTGAATCTTACTGAGTAAGTAGGAGTTCATTCTTTAGACAAGATAAGGAAGGGCATCATAGACAGAAGGGCAAACAGAGAGAGAATTAATATAATGTGTCAAGGAACCTCAGTTATTTAGGCACACTGGACCCTGGAGTTAGAGAAAGGAGAAGAAGAGGACCAAGAGATGGGGAGTGCCCTGGGTTTGCTGAGATTTTTCTCTAACAGCAAAACTTCCAGCGGTGGCAATAGTGGGGCTTGAGGAGGGGAGAAACTTTTGAGTTTTGTTTTTTTTAGTTCTCGGGACTGAACCTAGTGCCTTGTGTTTGCTAGGCAAGTGCTTTATCATTTGAGCCATTTGTATTTTGTTTGGGTGGTCAAAAAAATAAAAAAGAGCCTCCCTTATGATTGGGTGGAGGTAGTTTCTTCTAGGTCTCAGACAAATGGAATGAGTCTCCTGTGTCCAGTTGATCTTATGCCTTTGGGTTCTCTTAGAACCAACTCAGTCTTTGGGTGGGAGGAAGAGACAGAAGTCAGCTTGACCCAGGCTCTCATTTTCTTTGTGGAGTTGGCTCAGCAAACAAGCAGGAAAGCATATGGTATTTTTTGGAGCAGGAGCAGATGGACTGAAATGTTAAAAATCTGTTTTATTAAATGATTGCAGCTAACAAAATAATTTAATAAGAAAAAAAAAGAAACCACCCAAACTCCGACCTTTCTTTAGTGATACTGAAATTAGAATATCATTATTCCACACTATTAATATTGATACCTTTAAGAAGAAGCAAATAGAAATGGGAAAATGTCTTTTGTAAATACTGGTTTTCTTGGTGGTTTCATCTTTGTAGTGGATGTGAATACTTTATAATTATTTGTGTTGTTAACCAAGTAAAAGTATGTGATTAGAAGTTTTCTCCATTACATTAGAGAGTTGTATAATTAAACTTTTTTTTTCTCTCTAATTAATAACTTTCCCCATAGTAGTCTTTTAAGAATCTTCTAAGAAAATGATTCTTCAGGGCTGGGGTCATGACCAAACGGTAGAGTGCCTGCCTAGCAAGTGCAAGTCCTGAGTCCAAACCCTAGTACCTTCAGAAAAGAAAGAAAATGATTCTTCAAAATCAGGAGTACCTAGAGGGATATAGAAATGAGATTAGTTACAGAACTGAAGTGGGCACATGCCTAATTTACTATGAGGCTACCTGTTACTGAGTCCATGTGTGAAGTTGAAATACACATGCACCAGATGCTGTTTGGTGTGAGACTTTCAAAGATATATAAGATTGTGACTCACATTACAGTTAGTACAAGAAACAATTCTACCACAACCCTCCGATGAATTACATACAAGTTCCATGGAAGAGGCACATCCAAATGTTAGTGCTGTCTAGATTGCTGGTTGTGTTTTCACCAAAGGTAACATTAGGCTGGTTACAGTCAAATGGAAGAAAGAGTAGAGTGAGGTAGGAGAGCATTTTGGAACAGAAGCAGCAGAGTTGTCTCCTGGAACTTTGAGTGGCTTTTTTCTTTCCCTTTTTTTAGCTTCTGGTATATGAATGCTGTGATTTCTAATGCATTTTGAAAAATTCTCCTTTAATGGTCTGTATCATATCAGCATCTAGTAGATATTAATCTTTTCAGCAAGGGGGCAGTGATCAGGGATACCCTGAAACCCCAGCATTAATTCATGTAACTTTTTATTAATCATTTGCTCTCCTGGACTGGACACTCACAAGTAAGTCTTTGCTGTCAGAAGGGAAGAACATGACAGGAGGAACACAGCACCCCCATTGCTATTGTCTGTAGTGGATCAATACAGGTTCTTCTAGTTTGGATGTACTTGACTTTGCATGAAGTGTGCCTTGTGGTGACTGGCGTCCTTCAACTTTATTTATTTGTTGTGTGTGAAAAAGAATCTTAAGTTTTGAAAGAGCATTGATATCAAATGATGAATATATCCTTTCAAGGACCCTGTAACTAGAGGTGATTGTATTTAATAAAACTTTTCACTTTCAAAAAGTGTTGTTCTTTCCCCTCTAGACCTTAGCTGGATCTCCAAAATACAAGTGAATCAGCCAGCCGTCCTGAGGCGGGCAGAACAAATCCAGGCTCGCAGAATGGTGAAAAAGGAGTGGCAGGTAAGGGTTCTTCTTGAGCGTTCTGTCCTTGTATTTCACAATGCATGGTCTCTTTCCTCAAGGCCGCAATATTGAATTTCACTCAAGATGCATCTAAACTTAAAAGATTGCAGCTGTCCATGACTTATTTTAATAATTCATACATGATGATGATGGGTTGGAGAAAGATAACACATTTATCCAAACAAGTTAAAAATCTTATTACTCTTGAGTGGCAAAACTGCAAATGAATTTGAGGCATCTTTATTCATGAGTGAATTAAATAGCATATTTTCTCAACACATTTATTCAGTTTTTTTAGACATGCCTTCTTTGGTCATCTTCTATTTTAATTTTAAAACCATAACATCTACACCTGATGTGTCCTCAGGGTGAGACCCTGAGGTTTCGTAGTTGACTTTTGGCCATCATGTTTACTATACTATTTTCATAAATCATTTTTCAAAATTCCAAAAATGATGTTGCACAGAGTACTTGTCGTCAGCATATTCCTCAGTGTAGCAGCCAAAGACTAAAAGAAATTCATTTCACAAGGGGGAAATGAAATCCTTTTCAGTGGCATTTCACATTTTGGTCATCCTTTGAAATATGCTGATTGAAAAGATGAAAAGAAAATCATCAAACTCTGTTGTGAAATATGAATATTGTTTTGAAAATGCAGTTGGATTAAATTGGGAAAAAAAACCAAGAAACTTAGAAAAAAATTTACAATAATATTTCCTCTCTGATACCAGGGCAGGAGATGAAAGTAAGTTAGAAACCTTCCTAAGTTTCGTTTAAGATGGAACAGTGATGTGTGGGGAGTCTTGTTCTAGTTGGGGTTTCAACTTTGTATATCTGTGGAGGAAAAAAAAAATTGAGGCCATTCTTCTTTCTTGTTGTTTCTTTTTATTCTGTTTGATTTTGTTCTTTGTTTTGTAATATTCTGGGTAACATTCATCTTGTTAGTCACTTGAGCTAGTTTTTGTCCTGTGTCAGAGTATGCCTGAGATGTCGTAGATCTCAGCTACGAGTGCTCATATTTGTCTAGTGATTCCCTATTAACAGCTATGGTGGAGATTAATTTTGTTTTTTATTTCCTTTGTTTTTACTTTTTTTCCCAACAGGCTGCTTGGCTCCTGAAAGCTGTTACTTTTATAGATCTTACTACACTTTCAGGTGATGACACATCTTCCAATATTCAAAGGCTCTGTTATAAAGCCAAATACCCAATCAGAGAAGATCTCTTAAAAGCTTTAAATGTGCATGACAGAGGTAATGTATAATGCATATGGGGTTATCTGCTTATAATACTGATTACTAATGTAAGGGGACTTAAGATTCAGCTGCTAATATAATAGTAGTGATAAAACAGGTGATATAAACTCTGGTCATGTGTATACAGACAAATAATTGAGATTGTTCTTTGAAAATCACAAGAAAGAGAATCTGCATCTTGTTTTTAGGTTAGTTCTTTGTATCTATGGATTGAAGTTGCTGGTTGAGAGTTTCCTTATATTTCTTTTCAATTCTTCAGTTTCGGAAATTTTCTATCTAGTGACTGTAAACCACTGATTCTGATTCCCTAGTCACATGTGAAAGAGCCAGTCTCATTACTTAATAATTACATCTCATACATAAAGTATTTGGTGAGTAAATGAAATACTTTTGAGAATAAAATGCAAATGGGAAATATTGCATGCTTATATATTAGGCTAGATGTTTCAGAAAAAGTCATATTCACTTCCTTAGTATACACAAGAGAAAGAACTTTGTAAAGTTGCCAGAAGTTTAGAACCTTAAACATTTTAGAAATGGAGACTTTGAGAGCCAATACCCTGTTTTTCTAAGTGACAAAACCAAGATATGGAAGGCTGAGGGAGATTTCTAAGATGTCTTATTCCTTTCTGGACTGGTGTTAAATGCTGGATCCCCTCTCCATGGGAGGATGCCTCATGGGTCCAGAGTGCCCTTCTGTTCTAATGCCATTAGAGAGAGTGGACAAGCCCAGTGCAGGTACCACAAATCATTGGTAGAATACTAGCACACCTAACCAGCTTGCAGCTTTGGAAAGTACCACCTTATTGGTACTGGAGATGTTTCTTAGTGGTAGAGTACAAATTCCCTATGTTCAGTCTCCAGCATCACAAAGAAAAAAAAAAAAAACAGAATAAAGTGACACTTAAATGAAACAACTTTGTATGAACTCTAAGTATAAGTAACTATTTAATTTTTTTTTAAATTTAAGAGCTTGTACCTTAAAATGAGGGCTCCAATTTCTTACAGAAGAGAGAGGAGGTTTAGTTAAATGTCATTTTACTGTACTACTCTGTAAATTTCACTTACATTTTTCTTCATCCATAGCTGTTTGGATGCCATACAAACCCAGACTTTGTTATTTACAAGAAATAAAATATTTTTGTTGAGTCATGATGACCAAGTCTATTATTTAGGAATTTAAAAAAATTCAGTATCATGTTAACTTCAAGGATCAGTTTGTCAGAGTTGTTTCTATGATTATAATGATCAGCAAATGATCCATGTTTTCAGAATTAGAAGGAAATATGGAAAGTAAAACCCTTTTGATTTGTTGCAGCATTGTAGGGAATTATTTTTTTCTCTCATTTTGATTTCTGCTAGAGTTGTAGTATAAATAATAATTGAAAGCATACCATGTGAGTTGAACTTCATATGAAGTGGGCTGCTGTGATTTCTTCTCTCACAGATATCACTACAGCTGCCGTGTGTGTCTACCCTGCCCGGGTGTGTGACGCTGTCGAAGCACTGAAGGCTGCGGGTTGTGACATCCCTGTGGCATCAGGTAAGGTTTGTTGTTGTCTTTCAACAAGTTGTCAGTTTTTTTAACCCAGTCAGTGGGGGATTTTATACATAGTTTTATGGTATGACTTAAACTAATTGTATACTAATTGTATTGATTCATGATTTTAGTATTTTTTTAATTATTTAGGAAAAGGGTACATGGATTTGATATGAAGCCATGGAAATTTTTTAAAGCTCCAGTTTAGTGAAATATGTGTCTGTGAACAGACGAATGGATGGATGGAGGGATGTGCAGATACATAATTAGAGTGTAGTTTTTAAAAAGGATAGAAGAAAATTCTGGTGCTTTAAAAGAGCAGCATATGAAGATCACTAACTTGTCTTATTAAGGAAGCTTCAAAAGAAACATGACATACTATATTTATCTGCATCTCCATTTGTGAGGGTTCCCAAAGTATTTGGCAGCTACGTCTTTAGACTTTAATTTTCTATCAGCCACACTCAGTTCAGATCTTCCTCTATACAACAGAGGGGTGTGCTTTCCCTAAGGTAGCAGACCCAAGGAATTTAATAACATCAAGGAAAGACAATTATGTTTAAAACAGGGATGGAATGAATGGTATGCACATAAAAATGTTGGTGACACTTTTTCAAAACTTCAACTATAGCTTCATTTTCCTTTAATTTATTCTTGGCTCTCCTCTTCTAGCTCTGCTCTGCACTGACACTGATTAGGCGCTTTTCCCTCTCACACCCCTTTATTCTCCTTTGCTGCTTGTTTTAAGATAGGCCATGGGAAGAACCTATATTACAATCTGATTAGTACAGCTAAAGAAGTTCATTTGTGAGTAAATCAAGATGGCCAGCTTACCAAAAGTAGGATCCAGAGTCAGACAAGGCTACACCCATTATTTTTTGGCTGTCACTGTAATGATAACATTTTTTTCCAGTGGTACTAGGGTTTGAACTCAGGGCTTTGCACTTACAAAGCAGGCACTGTACCACTTGAGCTACCAGACATTTTTGCTCTTGTTATTTTGGAAATAGGGTCTTGCTTTTTTGTCCAGTCTGGCCTGGACTGCAATCCTTCTGTTTTAAGCTTCCCACTCTGCTGGTATGATAGGCACATGCCACCATGCCCAACTATTGGTTCAGATGGGAGTCTCACAAACTGTTTGCCTGGGCTGGCCTGGAACTTCTGTTCTCACCTACCTGAGTAGTTAGGATTATAGGCATGAGCCACCAGCACCCAGGAATAACAAATTTTCTTAATTGATCGTTACTTAATATACTTCATAAACTTCTCTGCAGCAATTTAATTTCAGGTCTTCCAGATAATATAAAGTTAATATTTGTCCTAAAACTAATATAATAGGAGATAACATGCTGTTACTTCACACATGTGTTGTACATAATGTAAGTGATGTTAAGGCCATTAATACTTTGGTTTCTGTGCAGTTTTATATAGAGGGGCTCCGAAATGCTTTGTTGAGCTACTGACCATTGAAATTTGTTTTTCTTCCCTCTCTTCCCCCTCCCTCATTTCATCCTTCTTTTTAACTTCTACTAGTGGCCACTGGCTTTCCAGCTGGACAGACTCATTTAAAGACACGGTTAGAAGAGATCAGACTGGCTGTGGAAGATGGAGCTAAGGAGATTGATGTGGTAATTAACAGGACCTTGGTGCTGACAGGCCAATGGGAAGGTGGGTGCATGGGCCAGCATCTTCCTGGTGAATTGGGTGGGGATCTGGTCAGAGGCAGCTTGGTTTGAATCTCTTCTGGGTGACATGTTATCTGATCAGTGAGTCATGTGAACAGAAGCATGGTGAGATTGCTCATCCTGGTGCCTATTACAAATTTAGGTGGTTGCCTGTCTGCATGAGCCTCATTTCTCCCTTTGGGTGCTCATGTGAGTGGTTATTTCCATGCAGTAGATTCATAAACTTTTTTTAAAGATTTATTTTATTAATATGCTTTTCTTTTAGAAGGGGATAGTTACTACTATTCTGTACTTCTTTATTACTCCATACATAAATCATTACAGGAAAATCTCTTATGCAAAGTTTAGTATGGTAGGGAAAGCATCCTTTTTTATGTTTTTATTTGTGAACTTTGAGGATGTGGTATTATTAGTAAGTTTACTAAGTCCTTGTTTACCTCTGGCATTCTGATGCATAGCTCCTATAAATATTATTTCATATTCATCTTTGAGATTAATGATTTGCTCTCATACTAGATTAAAATAAGATATTGCCCATTCTAGTAACAAGATATTTTTTATAATCAAATTATTTTGTATACTAAAGATGAGGACATTGATGACTAAAATAAATGCAGTTTTCTTTGAAAAAAGTAATTATAATGAGTAATCACATTGTTTTAATGAAACCACAAGTTGAAGCTAATGATATTTTTTCTTTTGATACCTATATGCCAAGCAAAACACATGTTTTTGTGTAATTATAGAAGTTCTACACGTCAGTAACTTTCTAGCTCTTTTCTCTTTGTATGTACACGTCAGCCACCTCTATTCTTTTTAAAATTTAAAAATTATAGTTAATATATTTTTCCTTAACCTGCTTATTGGACTTGCCAATACCTCATGAATATCTTTTGTGCTCGGTCCATGTATGCAGTAGTCCCTTATGCACAGGGTATTTTTCTATGACCCCCCTCAATAGATGCCCAGATAGCATCTACAAATACTATATATACAATGTTTTTTCTTATACATATGTACCTATGATGGCTTAATATGTAAATTAGGCACACTAATATTAATAATAAAATAGCATAATTAGAATAATATATGTAGTAAAAATAAAGTGACTGTGGTCTTTCTCTTTCACACATTCATTGTCTCCATGTCTTTCAAAATACCTTTTTTTATTAGCATATAATAGTTACACAGGGGGGAATTCATTTTGATATTTGCATATGTGCTTACAATGTATTTTAGATTGATCTTCTCCATCATTTTCTCTCATCTCCTCCTCTTCCCCTTCTTAGAACAATTTCACAGGTTTCATCGCTTCGTTTTCATGCACATACACAAAGTACACCCACCATATTCGCCCTCTTACACCCTGTCGGTTTACCATCCTCCTTCTCACTGGTACCTGCCCCTGGACAGGACCTGTTCTACCTTCCTTTTCTTCATTTTTAAAAGTGATATTGATTCTTGCAAAATATCTTCGTGCACTATTGCCCTGTAATCAGTCTTGTGGTAATGTGAGGATAGAATGCCTATCTGATGATACGAAGTTAGATGAGTGTTGAAGGCATTATGACGAGGGCTAGGCTACAGCTATCTAAGGGTTTCTTGAACATGAACACTGCCATCGTAAGTGTGAATTTGATAACTGAGTGGCTACTAAGTCACTAAGAGGCAGGTAGCATACGTAGTGTGAATGTGCTGAACAGAGAGGAGCACATCCTGGTTGGAGCAGTTGGGCAGCACGAGATCTCATTACCTTGCTCAGAATGAGGGGCAATTGAAAACTTGAATTGTTTATTTCTGGAATTTCCTAGTTAACATTTTTAGGCCATTGTTAACTCCTGGTAACTGAAACTGCAAAAAGTAAAATTATACATAAGAGAGAAGACTCCTGTATTTATCTGTAAACGCTTTATCTGTGAATCCTAATTCTATTGTTTATCAATTATGAATTGCTTTTTTGTTAGGAAGTAGTAAAGATTTAGGCAGTGGTTTAAACGCTCAAGTATTTATTCTCTTATTTGAAGTCCGGGGGAGGTATTTCCAGAGTATTATGGTAACCCCACAGAGTTCTTGGATACCTTGGCTAATTTCATTTCCCAGTTCCAAAGCACATGACATCTTGTCATATGCAGGGCACTTCATTGTCTAAGAGAGCTTCTGAAAGTCCAACTTTTACACCCTTGGGTGTAAAGATGGCAGTAGGGGAGGTGAGATGTCCCATCTGAATGTCTTTTGCAATACTCATTTATATCCTATTGACCTGAACTGAGTTATAATTGTGGCTACTATGATTGGTTGCAAGTGAAGTTGATAAATGTGTTTTTTAACTTGGAATGTTATCTAAGTTTCCATATATTCTTATTCCTGTTGTCTTACCCTTCCCGCATCTATATTTACCAACTTGTTTAATCTTCACCAGATTTGAATTCTTGAAGTTCACACATATATTTTTGTTCCTTTTGTTTGAGTTCCATTTCTTGTGTGATTTGGACAGTTACAATCATTCTTAAAAGGATTATAGGTATCCTTGTCCCAATGTATTAATTCTGCTATATCTGCTTTTAGTTGCAGATTTCAGTTAAGATTTAGAGTAAGAAGGAAAGGTGACTACACATAATATTTAAAAGAAATCTGGAAATATACTGATTTAGTTGGACTAAAACCTGTGTGCCTTTATGTCTTTTTGTTAGCACATGTAAGTGTAGGTGTACAGTTTATATTATAACTTGTGCTCTTGTCTCTTGAATACTACTAATTAGAAAATAAAATATAACAGGAGGTGGGTTTTGATGTAATTGGCTGTTCCCTAATGAACTAGGAATGGTTTTTTTTAAAAAAAACGGTAATTGTCCAGTAATAGACATTCATATAAAATATACTACTACATTTTTGTTCAAGAGCATACTTTTCTATTAACTTTTTTAATAGTGTTAACAGCCTCTTACCCAAAACAAATTGAAAAGCAACATTTAATACTAGAAATTTATTTCTAAATAGAAACCTGCAGTGACTTAGGTCTTTCTTCACTGAAGTATTTTGTCTTAATTTTAATTATCAATTTGATTGCATGTTGTATTTTTCAGTGTCATGTTTTAACATTAGGTGTTTTCTAAAATAGGGATCTAAAATTAACATTTTAGGGTATACTGATGAAAATGCCTGTCATGTTGTTACATTTTCAAATCTAGGGTCTTTTGACCTGCCACTGGGTTTGTAGGATGCTTTGTAAAGCATAGTAGAAAGAATTACATCTTTTAGGCCTAACCATTTAGAGTGCCTTCTAAACATGTCTCTTGGCCACATAGGCCACAGTGAAGGGTCTGAGCTCAGGGAGGAAAGTGGAGAAGGGCTTGCCTTCCTTTCTTTGGGTTCTCCTTGGTGACCATTGGATGTCTCTGCTTTCCTCAGACATCTAACTCTTCAACCACCTGCAGTTCCTTCATTGTTGCCAGATGCCCTGCCTGCTACTTCTCGGGGCAGTGAGCACCATCAGATGGTTGCTCCTCAGAGACTGTCAGTGCTTTGCCTCCTGCCTTTATTTTTTTCCCCTAACTCAATGGCTCTTCTGCATCTTTTGAGTCTTACTCCACATACTGGTTATTGTTCTTCTCCCATACCTCCATCTTCTTTCTTGTGATTCATTCCCATCAAGTGTTTAAGCACAATTATACTTTTATCCATTAAAAACACCTCACATGCCAACATTCCCTTTTATATCCTTTACTCCTCTTCATGACTGAAGTTCTTATGAGTTGTACTTCTTTGTTTTGATGAATTCTAACCAAGATAATAGTAACTTCTCATCTCACTAGACCCAAGGGATGTCCTTCAGTTGTTTGTTTTACTTTATTCATCACTGTTTGGCAGACTGAACTTTTTTTTCCTCCTGGAAACTGTGTGTTGTCATGACTTTGTGACTTTATATCCCTGAGAATTTACTTTCTGTTTCCGATTTCTCTTGCTTCTTGCTTGCAAGCTCCTCTCCTCTGTCATTCCTGTCCTTCCTGATGTGTTCTGTTCCAGCATGACCTCTCCTCACACTCTGCTTACTATTCCTTAGAAAGCCAATTTCAGTTACACTCCCTCTGACCAAGGCTAACAGGCCTCTGAACACCAGAACCTGGGTCTGCCCAGCTCCTAACTTATTCCATTTTCCCACTAAACCATGATGCTTTTCATCCATCATTTTCATGGAAGTACACATCTAAAAATCAGTGAATCCTATTAAGGTTAGAGAATCCACCCATTTTAGAAAGAAGCCTATTAAAATATCTATATTTCCCTTTATTGATAATTTTTATTAAACACATAATATTTTCTTGATTATTCAGAAATATTTGTCAGTGGTTGTATTATCCTGGAATATGGTGATGCTTTCTCTGGAAATCCTAAGATGATTCACCCCACAGTTGACAGTCCAGACTGCTGTGCTTTTTGATGTATAGGCCTTTTTATTTGGTATTATCCTGGTTCTTTTAGCCTGATACATTGCTGTTAAGCTTTTTTCTGCCAGGTTATATGTAGCTCTATGGCATGCTATCCTTTCCTGCTAGTACCTCTCTTGAGCCTTTCCATATGGATACAGAAATGCATACCTGTACTTCTCACTTGGGATGGTAGTTTTAACTGGATGGGATGAGGAGGATACTGTTGGTTCTCAGAGTAACTTGACAAACATTTTCAAAGTACAGCTCTTCTTACAGAATCCCGCACATGCCCCAGGCATGTGAAATGTCAGAATGGAGGGTTGGGTGTGAGTGAACAGAGACTCCTAGATTGTTAGAATGACAATCCCTGCACAGATACTTGGCATCCTCCTCATAAGTAAGTACTCCTCCTAGGATCGGTATGTGTAATGCAATACTTTTTTATGGTGCTGTTAAAGTTGACATTGAAGTTGCATTTCTTCTCCTTGAAGAAAGCCTTTGCCAGAAGTTGCTCATCATCTTACAAACCTTATTGAGCAGGTTTTGAAAATTATCT